CCATGCATGCAATGCCAGCTAGGGCGCCAGCTCTGCTCTCACCTGCCCCCTACCAAAAGGAAGGCAGCAAAAAAGAACAACAATAGAAAAAAAGCTGTCTTTGTATCGGCCTTTTTTTTTCTCTTATTCCCTCTTCTCTCACGCTCGCTTGAGTTGGAGTAGGCGCCATTCCAATTCATCACGCGGGGTCGTCAGCGTTGGAATGCGCAGCCCCGAGGGTGTTTTGATGGTGCTGCTAGCAACAGCTCCGCCTGTGGCGGCACCGCCGGCTTTGCTATTCTCATCGACGGCATTCATTATTGCGGCGCCGCTCGCGGCGGCAGCAGAGGCAACTAAAGTGTTCGGGTCACGCAACTTCTCCTCGTCGTAGCCCTCAATGCTGTACTCGGACGCAATCATGGTGAGGTACTGCAGGCAACGATCGTTTGACGGTGTGAATATGCCAAGACGATCAATAATTGTCTGGTTCACAGAAAACTCGGTGTTGTCTACGCCCATCGCCACAAATGCCTTCCCGAACTTTATCTCAAAGAACTTCCTGATACTCTGCAGCTCCGGCGCAACATCCCCCAGCCGGGCAGAGGCCCAGAGGACCGAAGTGATGCTTTCCTTAAGCTCCGGCGGACAACGCGCCTCGGCGGCGTCTCCTCTGCCTCCCTTGATCTCCGCAATCATCTGAACACGGTTCGCGAGAAGTTCGAGAAAAAGCGAGAGCGCCTCAAGCCCCTCAATGCCCACATCGTCGCGTATAGCCTGCTCCACCTTGATGAGGGCCGAGTCGTACTTCTGCAACGCGAGGAGCTCCGCAATTTGGCGCCGCTGGATCTTTACGCTATTGACAAGTTTGTTCTGCTGCATGCGCACCCGCGACACAGCCATTCGAATGGTGGCCTTCACCTTCACGGTGTCGAACTCAGGCTTTTTGGAAAAGAAGGACCGCATGACTGCCGCTCCTACAACTATCGCCACACCACTTCGGTTGTTATTGACTGATCCCCTCCGCCCGGATTCCGCCTGTAACGTATTTTTTTTTTCCTTTTTCTCTCCCTGCTGTATGTGTCTGATTTGGAAAAAACGGTTTGTGTTTTTTTTGCTGCTGTTGTTGTTTTTTCTTCTTAGTGGAAGAGGGCTTTGCGGAAGTTGCGCCAAGGTGGTGGGTGCCGCAGACAGAGTCCGCAGAGGCAAGGCGCACAGGAGGAGAAGTAAAGAAAGAAGGAAAAGGACAGAAAGAGGGAAAGAGAGGCGGGAGAAGTGAGAACGTTTGGAGGTCGGCAGCCAACGCCGATGGCGTCACACACCACGGACAACGACACGACTGCCTTGCAGCGGGGCGAGAAGAGGGTCGCCGCCTCACATGCCCCTCTTCCCGCTTGGGCCACCACGGCACGGAGAGGCACCACGGTCAACGCCCGTTGCAGCCCCCAGTTCCCGTCAAGAGGAAGTGACTGCGGCGCCGAGGATCCTGCGTGCGCCGGGGGAACAGAAACCGTCGGCTGCGCGCGGCTCAGCAGCTGCCGTCTCGCCGCCACGTGGGACCCTCCCCCCCACCCCCTTGCAGACCGCCTTTAAACCCCACGTACTGCTGTGGGCAGTGCTTCTCCCCACGCGCTTGAAGACCGCTTTTTTTTTGTGCACGCGTGTGCCCGCATGCACAGACATCACCCCTCTCCAAGGCCATTGCGAGGGGTGTGCGTCCGGGGGGGCGGGGATCGGCGGGGCGCGCCGCGTTTCCGTAGAGGCGGGCCGGTGTGCCATACTCCTGGAAAAAGGAAGGTGCGACAAGGGAAAGAGAACACGGCGACGCACGCACAGGTGCAGAGGCGCAAAGCGAAAAAGCCAATAACGACAATGGCAGGACCACAAAGTATAAGTTGCCCCCCCCACCACCACCACCACATGTAGAAAAATATATATAAATATATAATAACAATAATAATGGAATTAACAAAAAAAAAAAAGGGGCAACCTCTCCGGCGCAGACAACATCCTGGAAACACCACAGAGTGCCAGGAATGTATGGGCACGAGTGCCTTTAAAATAAAGCACTCAACCATTACCCGACCCAGATGTGTGCACCTGCAAGAAAGGGGGGAAAAAAAGGTGAGAAAGGTTAGGAAAAGGTACGGTGGCGGCCTGTGCCTAGGCAACGTCACCTCCTCACACAACACCTCTTCCCCAGCGACTCCCTCACTAGCTTCGCCTACCCTGGTCTCTTTTTTTCGTTTTCTTCTTGCCCTCTCTCCTCCTCTCTCGCTCACTCCCCTCCATCCTTCCTCGTAACCATCATTACTACTTCTACCATGAAGTCCTTCGCATGAACCCTCTCCCCAAAGATGCCTTTCCCGCGATGGGAACAATCGTTGCGCGGCCTGTGCCAATGCTGTCCACAGAGCCCCGTGACAACGAGCTTAATGAGACATCTTACCCCTCCAAAGGAGGCAAGTCATCGTAGTCATCGTCGCTATTATTCACGGCCCCGGGGTCATCCTTCTTGCCGAGGTTGGCGCTCCCAACAGTGGCCTCCGCTCCACTCTGAAGCGGCGCCGGCGCTTCATTTTCCAGCCCCTTCTGCATCATCATTTCTGACATCATATTGCCGTAGCCAAAGTCCAAGCCCCCCTCGCTCTCCGTGTCTGCGTCATCGTCCTCGTCCTTCCAGCGTGACCAGTCGACCTGAATGTGGCAATTCTTCGCTTTCTCCTTCGTCAGCCGTGGCCAGGCGCGGCAGAGTGCTGCCTCCTCGTCGTCACTGGGGTCATTCGGCCACTTCTTCTTGAGTTTGACCTCAATCTGCCGCGGAAGCGTCACGTGACTACTTTCTTCAGAGGAGACTTCATGGAATAGCTCGAGGGTGCAGCCGTAACTCTGCTCCCCGGCGGCGGCGGCAAAGTGTAGCACGCGCCCATCCCGAATTTCCACGACGACGTTGCTAGCGTCCTGTAGCGGGATGGAGAGGAAAACGTGCTCCGATCGCTGCGCCCAGAGGATGTTTGGGAACACAACGTCTTTACTCGCGGACATGGACGAGAGAGCCTCCCACACGTGCCCTGTCCCCCTACTTACTGCTTCCTGTTGTCCTTGTTGCTGCTGGCGAATTTGTGCTTGGGTGCCTGAAGAGAGACTCCGTCAGTGCTGGGGGGGAGTGGGTGGGTGGGAAAGACGCTCCCTCTCGTTCCGACCTATCCGTTTTGCTTGCGCTGCCGTTGCGTGTGCGGGCCCAAGGCAGGGGGCGTGGTGACGCAAAGCCACGCAACAAGAAAAGAAGGAGAGAAGAAACGCGCCCATCGTCCCACAAAATTCACCAGTGACCGAGAGGCCGACGAAGAACCCCGCACGCACCCACACGAAAGAGGAAGTAAAACCAAAGCAAAACAAACGAACAACAAAAAAAAAAGGGTACTGACTTCGTTTCTCTTTGCCCTGTGACCTCCCGCAGTCCCTTCAGTTGCTTCGCTCAGCTGTGCAAAAACAGTGGGAGTGTGCAAACTTGGCACCGTTGATGCCGATAACACACATGTTTGAAGACAAGCCCCATGCAAAGCGGCTTCCTCTCAGGCTTGACTAAGTCCGTGTGTTTACGCAGCTGCACCCCCATACGCAGGTAAGGGCAGAGGGAATAAAAAAACAACAACAACAATAACAAAAACAAAAACAAAAACGCATAATCACATCACACGCCAGAAATAAAGCAAAATGCGAACCAAAAGTTTTAAAAAATGAGGAGAGTATACACACACATACATGTATACATATATGTAGCTTCGAAGGGTAAATTCATCCACATAAAGCTAGCGGTTCATTGCCGAAAAGAATAACCAGTCGACAACAACAATAACACACACACGCATACAAAAAAAAAGGTTTCATGTCGTTTTTCCGTAAGTATTCGTTTTTGCGTGTTTCTTTTATTATTATTATGGCTCTGCTGCCCCCCCCCCCACCCCCTACTGCCACTTCTCTCCTTTCAGTGGCGTTCTGTCTGCCTCTGTGTGTGTGTATGTGTGCGTGTGCGTGTATCTCCTTTTACTCTTTGCCACATCTTTGCCCCCCCTGCCCAGTTATCCACAGCACGAGGGTAACGTGACTGTTGAGATGCCCGCCTCTCCCTTGCACTATCGTGCGCCTACGCGTGTCTCTTTCCACTGAACTTCGTACTGAAGCCTGAGAGGTCGCCCTTGGCGAAGAGCTCCGTGGAGCGAGGCGGCACGTCCAGCACGCAGACAGGGCCAAGTTCGGCGTCTTCCTCCCGCCGCGTTTTCCCCAAAACGTTCACTGAGGAGTCGTGCTCGAAATTGACCTTCACGCTGAACGTAACGTCCTTCGTGTCATTGTAAAAGCCCCACTGGCCTCTCCGCTCGTCCACGAGGCGGAAGAGGAGGCCGTTGCCGTGGTCCTTGAAGCACTTGTATACCTTGTCGATGAGCGGCATCACACTTTTGTCGGGCCCGCCGTTTTCGTACTTGGGGTGCTCTTCCGGCTGGCTTCTCTCCGCCCCAACCGCAGAAAACGACATTTGGTACTCCGCCGGATTGCCGTCGGTAATGAAGAGCTCCGTCGTGACAGGAGGGACCGTCACGACGCAAATGGTCCCACCCTCCACATCGGGGTTCTTCGACACGGCAGTATTCCGTGCCGCCCGATACACACTTTTGGGGGCGAACTTGACCGTCACTGTAATACTGTACTCGGTTGTGTCGTTGTAAAAGGCCCACTTCTTCGCCTCATCGTCGACAAGAAGAAAGACAAGCCCGTTCCCCTTATTCTTAAAGCCCCTGAATATTTTACTGCACGGATAGGCGATCACGTCGGGATCGGGTCGGCCATTTTCAAAATGAATGTCAGCAAAGTCCTCCGATTGCTCATTGTCCATGGGATTTGCCAGAAAATTCTGCCGGTATTCGCGCGGGTGGCCACGGAGAAACGACTCCGTGCGCAGCGGCCACACGGAAGTTTTGTACACCACCCCCTCCTTGTTTGCGGGATCAACCTCAACCCGCGTCTTGCCGAGCGGCTCCACGCAACTCTTGTCGGCGAAGGCCACCTCCACCTCCATCACGTAGTCCTTGGTGTCATTGTAGTAGCTCCACGTGCACTCTTCGCCCCCGCTCCCCTTCGTCACGAGGCGAAACAAAAGCCCATTGCCGTGGCCCTTTAGGCACCTGTAAACACTGTCATACTTCACCGCCGGGCGGCCGTTTTCAAACTCGACGTCGTCCTCCGACACCGCCTCGCTTTGAAAGTCGACCTGAAATCCCTCCACGCTGCCCTCCAGGAAGCGCTCCGTGCGGCCGGGCTCGACCAACACACTGACCTCGAAACCCCACTGCCCCTTCTCCTCCTCACTCAGCTCTGTTAGCTTCGCCCGGCCAAGGGCTTTGACTCGCGAGCCCTTGCCAAGTTTCGCGCTCACGCGGAACACCATCCTCTCTGTGTCATTGTAAAAGGCCCACTGTTTCTTGTCGTTCACGAGACGAAACAAAAGGCCATTGCCGCTCTGCGGAAAGCAACGATAGACGTTGTTGAACGCAAACCCGGGCGTCCCGTGTTCAAAGAGACCACTGGTGTCAGTCACGAGGTCCGTCATACTGTCCCTAGCCGTCAGGCCCAGAAAAAGAGAACGGTTTTCCTCGTTGCCGCCTTTTTTATTTTTATTTTCTTTTCGTTGACCGGTGCTTTGTGTATTGCCTTTCCGGTTGTAGGTATTTTCTTTGGGGTCCTTTTTTATTTATATATTTTTTGTCGTTCCTTTGATTCTCAGCTGCCTCGCTCTTTGCTTGAGTGCACGCACGCAAGAGAAGAAGAAAAAAAAAACGGACAACAAAAGGACGACAAAAACACGCGTCAGCGGGGGCGGGGAGGGAGGGCAAAAAGTGGCCATCGACCAACGCCGAGGGAGGGCCGCGGAGAAAAAAAAAGAGGAGGGAATCAAAAAAAAAACAACAACAACAACATCTCATTGCCTCACTGATGGACTTGAGACGTCTGTGACCCCCGTTGTGGCTGTTCGCCCTGCCGCTGCTGAGCTCGGCGCAGCGCCTGCTGCAAGTCCCGCAATCGCTGAGAGATCCGTTTCTCCCACTCACACTCGAAGGCTTGCCTGGGGGCAGCGCTGAGTGAGGAAAGCATCACCTTGGACTCCAGAAGAAAGTTGAGGCGGTGCTGCATGCGGGCAACCTCAGCAGCTAGTGTCATGGTATTTCTGCGCAGACGCGTCCAGTGGGTCCACAGCGCCTCCCGTTCTCCCTCGCGAAAGTGCTTCACCTCCGTGAAGAGCGAAACAACTTCCGGCACTGCCAGCTCACTATCGTCCGGAATCGGCAGTGCAAGGTGTGCCGCCAGCGCGGGCACCACAGGCTCCCACCGGGGCTCTGTATTATTCTCCAGCCCCGTTCCCAGGACCAGATTGCCCTGCAGAAGAACCTGCTCCGCCTGCCTCTTCTCTCTTGACTCTTGCGCCCCTCGCGGTGAGACCAACGGGGCGCCATTCGCCGCCGTGCGTGGAGGCGACGCGCGAGCAAACGCAGGGTCCCAGCGGGAGAGGAATTGCTCCACCACCGCCTTCCATTGGCAGTATCGCGCGACGTCCTCATTAATGCAGAGAAGAAGTCCTCGCAGAGCCTGTGAGTGCAGAGACGCGTGGAACGTGTCCTGCCGTAGCTGCCGCATCAACTCCAACTGCTCCGTAAGAAATGGACGGACGACGACGGCGCAGACGCTAACGAGATCCCCAACGAAGTCGACAAAGTCCGAAGTTTGGTCGTAGAGCTCCTGCGGTGCCGCCTCTTCGTGGCGCGCCTCCCCGGCACCGAGGGAGGCCAAGGCAGCAAGTGACCACAGCACTGCGGCGCTCCCTTGACACACAAGCCGCTGCGTTGTGCTGCTCCGCCGCTTACCGCCCCGCAGCTGCCAGGCGGAGTCATCGCTGGTATGGCGGGAGCGAGGCGTGTTGCACCCGGTGGAAAAGCTGGAAGCCGTTGAGCCACTTCTTGCGGGTCGCGTGGGAACGCCGCCCGACGACGCGGAGAGAATGGCGTAATAATAAAAACGTTTTTCGTCACAGCCGCCGCTGCCGCTAGTGCCTGCTTCGTCTGCAAACTCATCGGTGATGCCGTTTAAAGCGGTCAGTAAACCGCTCGCGTGGCGTCGCATCATGGTAAACTCTCTTTGTAGTGTCTGAAGAAGAAACTGCTGCAGCAAACTGCCGTAGACGCAGGACGACGAAAGAAGCTCCTCCATGTCCCTGCAACGAGGCAACCCGCACTCAGTTAGCAGGCGAGCACACAAAAGCCGGCGATCCCTCCATGCATGCTGGGGTCGTGAGACGCCTGCAACCGCATCGCCGCCACTTGAAGGATGTGAGTTGGATGACGCAGCGCGGTCGGGCTCGGACTGCTGCTGCGCGGCGGGGTACAGCAGCAGACACACCACTGCGATTAATTTCTCCCGCGACGGCTTCGGCAGCGGCAGATCTTCGTTGCTGGGAAGTAGCGTGACCAAACGCTCTATGCCTTCCAAAGCGTACGCAATGAACGCCGCCACCGTCTCCGTGGCGGCGGACGTGCCGCGAACACCGTGGCTCTCAAACGCTAACAAGCAGGAGGCCACACGAAGGGCTTCGTAGATCACCACAGAGGAATCGGGCACGACCGCCAGTGAGGCGGCATCGCCCAGGATGCTGCTGTAGTCCTGCGCAACGTCCATCATCAACGTTGATGATGGAGTTGCGTGCTGAAAATCAGCTCTGGCATCTTCTTCTATCGCCGCCGTCACGGACTCGTAGAGCCGCTGCAGACGGAGCGTAATACTGGGGCCTTTCTCCGCCGTCATCACGCGCACTGAGAGAGCAATCGCGAAGAAGCGCAAAAAAGATACGCATCCGTGAGTGCGTGAGCTACTCTCCCCTAGCACGCAACGCCGGAGCAGGGAAACGCCTCAGAAAACCACCGGCGGCACAGCCACATAAACCTGACGGCAGCGACGCAAGGGGGAAAAAAAGAAAAGAAAAGAAACCGTCGGCGACGACACACACACACACACACACGCACCCAACGATAAGAAGAAGAACAACAGAACAGAAAGCGCCGTCCTCTTCTTTACAGGAAAGAAATAAAAAAAACATGCACAGAGAAACATTTACACGCATCAGTCCCAATCTTGCAAGTCAAACCGTGAGAGTTCGTTAAGCAGGTCGATCTTCGCCCCCTCGGACTTGACAAGTTTCTCGTCAATGTACCACTCCTGTTTCTCCACTGACTGCAATGCCATTTTGCGTAGTCGACGCCTACGCCGCGTTTTGAGCTCCCCAGTGAAGATGCTCCGGTAATTCTGCATGTTGCGCTCCAACGTTTGCAGTTCTGCGTGACTCACGTTGGCCGTGGGGCCTTCTGCGTTCTCTTCTCTGACGGGAGAGGCGGTGTGGCCGACGGACAAAAAGTTCCGTTTATGCGAACTCGCCCCTGCTGTCGCCGCGTTGCTGCCGAAAAAGTCATCCTCCAAATAAGAGTACGTTGGCGTCATCGCCGTCCAGTGGTGCTGGGGCGGGGGACCGTCGGCCGGGATGTACTCCATGTACTCAAAGCTCTCGTCGAACGGAAGCGGATTATCGCCTCGGTTGGCACGGACGGAGCTCGCCCCATGACTTTCATTACGTTTGTCGCCCCCACTCCTCGCGCCCACGCCGCTCCCGTCGCTGACTGGCTTCTTCCGCAGCACAAGCAGATCCACCGCTTGGTGGGTGCTGTAGAAGGCGTTCAGCTCCCGTCTGATTCGGTCCTGGCACTGTGGGTGGGCAAACTCGCGGAGGTACACCGCGTCGCAGCGGGGGACGCCGTCACCGCCGGCGTCGCACATCCCCGCCAGCGAGTGACGACGACGCAGGACCAACTCGTACGACCCTTCCAGCGCCCCCGTGACAGCGTCGCTGAGGGAGGCAAAATAACCGCCCCCGTTAAACGAATACGACTGAGATGATGAGACGTATTTCAGAATGTCTTTTGGGTCAAAGGCCCGTGGAAGCACAAATGCGATGTAACCCCCATCCTGCAGCAGCGGCGTCGTAGTAGTACACCGTCGCGGTTGGGTGTGGCTGACACCTTGGGCTTTCGAGGAGCAAAGAAGTTGTTGCAGAAGCCTGTGTAGTGCAGGCAAGGTAGAGTGTGGGTGATGACCCTCGGCGCCCGGCGGAAGGTACTCAAAGACGTTGGGTGACTCCTGCACCAACGGCCATGGTGGAAGGAGCGGCTGCATGGGAGGGTGAAACACGAGAAGATCAAACGGACCAACTTCGCCCTCCTCTGTGGCAGTGGCCCCGGCAGGGATCGAGGCAGACGCCTGGGGGCTCTCCGGCAGACGGCGGTGCCGCGCCTGACGTCGGCGACGCGCGGCGGCGGTGGCCAAAGTGTTTTTCTCCTCCATAAGGGGGCTTGCCTCCGCTTCGCCCTCCTTCGCCACAGACTCCAGCTCAGGAAGCAGGTCGCATCGAATAAATCGCATTGTTTTCGCCACACTCGTCGTGCTGCGCCGCTCGCGCAGGTGTTCCCGAAGAGTCGCCTCGGCGCTTCCCAGAGCATGCGCGGCGACGTCAACGCCGACCACATGCTGCGCCCCGGCCTTCAAGAGAAGATCCGTCATGTAACCACTGTGGCAGCCGCAGTCCAGCGCCGCAAACCCAACGGTAGCACCCGCACTCCACTCCCCTCGCCATGATGGTGGAGAGAATGGCTCTGTTGCACCCCACCAGCGCATCGCACCGTCCCTCGCGGACAACTCAACGCCTGCTGCGCCTCTGCTTCCTGTGTCGGTGATGCGCTTTTCTTCGTCCTGCGCCGGCCTTCGCCGGAGCAGCCACTGCAGCAGATGCACATACGGCATCTGCTCTGAACGCGACGTGGGACAGTACGTGTCATGCCACGGATGCAGTAGATAGCCACCGCGGTGCCACTCGGTGTTTGTCGCCCAACCACCCCACCGTACACCGTGATGATAGCGCACAAAAGACTGCACAAGCCGCATGAGCTCCACGAAGGAGACAACCTCCTCCTCCCCGCCGGAGGATGGGGAGGCAGGAAGCACCATGTCCATCCAATCCACGAATCCTTCCACTATCTCCCCTTCGCTCCAAGGGCGCTCCTCCTTTGCCCGCGCAACCGCACGTCGGAAGTGGCTCAATAGAAACATAGGGAAATCGTCCACCTCTTGAACCACGTCACGAGGAAGAAAAAGCGTCGCGCGCAACGACGCCACAAAATGCCGCGACATTTCATGCAGCTCCAGCAGAGTGCGGGCGCCACAGTAGCGCTTGGGAAACGCCTTCCCATGCCGCAACCGTGACCGAGCCGTGGGGGCAAAGACTGCCGAGGTCTCCTGAAGCAAACCCCGCACGTGCTTCTGGCAGTCGTAAATACGGCGGCACACCACCGGCTCGGAGGTCATCGCAGTCATAGTCGATGCCCGGCGGCGAGAACAACTGAACGTGGAAAGTGCCAATCTACTCTCCACGCCACTCACTACACACACCGCCGCCGCAGAGTGCCGCTGCAGACAAGGCAGCGAAGGCATACCCCCCTCCCCTCACCCTACCCCCCAAGTCTTACGTCTCAAAATGTGACGCCCCCCCCCCTTTTTTTTTCTCCGGGGCGTC